ATTTTTATATTATTACTTTTTTTACCACGTGTATTAATATTTTGTCACGTCAACTCATAACAATGAATTAATAGCACATGTAATGAGATTTTTAATGAAAGGACCAAATCGGAGTCAAAATGGCAAACAGTAGAGACCAAATGAAGGATCTTTTTAATTCAGAGATCAAATCACAGATCCATACAATAATTTAGAGACCAAAATGAAGTTTTAACCTAACTATTATTAGTTGTTAACTTTTGGGTATTTTACAAATTTCAAAATTTGAATTTCAAAATTTGAAAGGTGTGGATGGGGAGTGAAAATTCTAGAAGCTAAAAACAATAATGTTTAGTGTAAATAGGGATTTGGCCACTCTTTTTTTTTTTTTTTTTTTTTTTTCCATATTTTCCTTCTTATAGATATGATGGAACTATGGGGTCATATAGAAGGCGGCCAACAATTTGTTTGTGAAGTCCAAAAGAGGAGGGCCATAGGCCTACCTTCTAGGCAAAATGTTCAAATTATTACTCTCACACTTTGTAAATCCTGAATTCCTTATTGAAATCATTGATAACAAGAATACTTTTTTTAGGAAAAAAATGAAAAGGAAAAAAAAAGTTCTCATTATCCATTTTGCAACTTGCATGAGTATTTTATGATTCAAACGAAATTATTTTAACAGTTAGGTATGATCATATGTCAATTTTTGCATGTATGTAAAAACAAACAATTTGATTATAAATTTTTTTTATTTTATAATAAATTATATAATATAAATTATTAAATAAGAGGATACTCCTATATTAAGATATTTACTCTATTTATTAAGTGTTGTATGTTTCGCCCTGCTTTGTTGACCATAATATCACTATAATATCTGTTTGTTTCCCCTCATACACTCGAATATCCTAGGAATTAAGACTGGTCCCTAAAATTGGTTAAAAATTAAAGAGTGCAGACCTCAGGGCTTACCTTGAGTGGGTCAATTCGACAACTACGAGGAACCAAGAATGGAGTGCCCAAAACTCTCAGAGTCTGGGTCTCTGCAATACAATTTGTATGCTAGAGAGTTTTTCCTCTCTCATTCACATGCGCGTGTAGCAAACCTAGCTTATAAAATGTCAAAATAGCACCATCACTAACATGTCCTATTTCTCTGATCATATCAAATTGGTACACTCTTAATTAGTGGATCCAAGTGGCTCATTGTCCTTAAAATGGACCCGCTTGCGATTGCATTGGCATGTGTATTTTAGACAAAATTTTTGGGGTTTTGAATCTGATCATATGCTCGTTCAACTTTCCCATTTTTCTATGAAAGGGTGTTTTATGATTCAATCTGTGACTGGTGTCTGACTTTCTGTTTGGAAAGAAAATGGATGATGGATCCCCCTCACATGAAATCTTGAGAAAAGTCGTCAAAACTTTGATGCTATATTAGACTTTAAAGATTTATATTTAATTAGTAATTGAGTGATAATTTTTTTTTTCAAATAGAAGTATTTTATGCATCCTAAGAATAAAGTTCTTTTGTCTGAGTTATAATCATTATATTTTGGTAGAGTGAAAAATGTTATCGATCTCTTAATATGATTATAAGATTTCAAAAAATTGACGTACAATTTATATTTTTTATAATTACTAATGATAATGCACTTTTTATAATTATTGATAAAAAAAATGAATCCATCTATAATTAAAAAGAACTTCATTTACACAAAACAATTACACCACAACATTCTCATTAGATTTTTAGTAGAAGAGGAGATTCTTCTATTTATTTCTGTTTGATTTCTACATTAGGTGGTTTCTTAAGTTAATTTATTTTGTGCCAAAATTAAATAAATCTATTGACTTGACCAAGGACGTCTCCAATTTCTCCATTGCTTCTGACCGCCCTAAAAACTAGTGAAAAAGACTCAGGAACACGTGTTCAACTGCATGGTGTTGATTCATCCAAAAAAAGGTTGGTTCATTTTCAAAACAAGAAAGGAAAACCAGAGATTTTCCTTGAAATGGAAAAACCCAACATTATTTAAAATAAGTCGGCATGGAAATATGGGCATGGAACTACGGCAGAGTTATGTGGGGAAGGATATATTTATAAGGATTCTCTTATGTCTCTGAATCGTACTTTTTGAACAGATTATATGCAGAACTTTTGCTTAAAAGAAAGATAATGCAATGCATTCATATTCTTGGTCACATGCTCCCATTTACAATATGTACTCTACTTTGTCCTTTCTTCACCAAACTTGAAAGCATATGGTTCATTAACAATGGAATGATGGTTTTTTTATTTTATTTTATTAGCAATAACAAAATTCATTATTGAGAGTATAAGGGTCCTTCAATAACAACATTTTCTTTGAGGAAGTCTATTTGGGTTTCATTTTTTTTTCTTCAAGTTGGAGCAAAACGAAATATGAAATAATGACAAACAAGTTTATCACTAATCTAGTTAGTGGTTCAGGCTTTTCTTTTCTTTTTTTGTTGAACAAATTACAAATTTTTTTTTTTAAAAGAACAATTTAAACCACAACTCTAAAATTGTGATATGTGCCACATGAGACATATACTCATTGAATCACAAAATCCATATATAAGTATGTTTTTTTGGTATTTTAAAAAAGCATATGCCTAGTTATATATTAAGTATCATATTAATGGTCTAGGGGTTATGGTATTATTTTTCATTTTTTCTTGCCAGAAATAATTATTGTCGTTTGACAGAACAAAGTTCTTTGAGCATATGGCAGACATTTCTTTTACTACTTTTGCGCAATGGCACATGATTAATAGCATTATTTGTTAAAATATACCTCGTCCCAATTGACAAGATGATAGAAAAGAATCAAGAACAGGACATCAATTTTCAAACCATGTACCTGGAAAAGTTGTCTCATTGGCTACATCTCTAATGCTAGGATTGGTTGGCCTGTGATGGTTTGTTTCAATGCGTCATGGGGCAATTATTGAAGGTAATTAAAGTTGAGACACTTTGGATCCCTCGTAGTTTCACTGGTAGTTTTTTTATTTTTATTTTTATTTTTTATGAAATTAGTTTTTATTTTTTTTAGATTTTCCTAATATGTGCTTTTAATGTATAGATCAATTACGTATTAAATATATCTTTTTATTATAAATACACAGAGAAAAATATAAAATTAATATTAATTTTAGTATTAAGTGAATTTAATTAAATAGTTGAAAAATTAAAATTTCACTTTTTTGTTTTAATATAAATTTATAACAAAAATATATATTTAATATATCTTTAACATGTACATGTTAAACAAACACTTTTCCTTTTTTAGAGAAAAGCTATTAAGGAGTCTTGAATTTACTCATTCACGTTCTTTGATTTAATTAAGCTCTATTTTATTGAAGATTCTTAATTAAGCTCTTAATGTAAAGATAACTTTATAAAATATGACAAATCGATGTTTTAGGCTTTAACTCTTTAGTATGATGGGGGAAAGTAGTCCATAATTACTAAAAAATTTTGTTAAGTGAAAAAAAGTTAATTATCACTATTAGAATTTGTAATTTTACTATTTAAGTTGTATCATACTATAAAACAAGAGATGTTAAACAGAGAGATATGTCTCTACCATTAATAAGTTTTTTCCATTTAATAGTTCATGTTTTTCTCCATGAAATTATTTAAAATTTCGAACACTTTT